GCACAAACCTGATAGTTTTTAGGGTAATCAGTATATATTAATTAGCTAATTTGCATAATTAATTAATTTTCAGCTTTTGATATTTCAAGTAGTAATCATCACATTTCAATGACACTTGGTACATAGATGTCATAGGACACTGCACAGACCTGATAGTTTTTAGGGTATTATGAGTACATATTAATTATCTAATTTGCATAATTAATTAATTTTCAGCTCTTGATATTTCAAGTAGTAATCATCACATTTCAATGACACTTGGTACATAGATGTCATAGGACACTGCACAGACCTGATAGTTTTTAGGGTATTATGAGTACATATTAATTATCTAATTTGCATAATTAATTAATTTTCAGCTTTTGATATTTCAAGTAGTAATCATCACATTTCAATGACACTTGGTACATAGATGTCGTAGAACACTGCACAGACCTGATAGTTTTTAGCGTAATACCAGTACATATTAATTACCTAATTTGCATAATGTTCCACTGATATATAAAGAACCACAAATTGGATTTTAATGAAACTTTTAAAGAGAACTATGCAGAAACCCAATTAGTTTTTGGTAAATATTTATGCTTATTAATCACCTAATTAACATAATTAATTAACACTGACATCTCAATTACTGATCATCACATTTGAATAAAATTTTGTACATAAATGCTCTAGAACAATAGACAGGCCTGATTAATTTTGGTTTAAAATTTGTTCATATTAAATCTCTAATTAGCATAATAATTCATAATTTTTTTCTTCTGTTCTGTTCATATTAGTTACCTGATTTACATAATTAGTTTTCAGCTTTTCCATCAATATCTCATGTACTAGTAATTTTAAATTAATTTTTAATGTTTCTTCAATACTCTCAACACAAGGGAGTTCTTTCTAAGCTTTCTTTGATTCAAAATTGACGTTAGTGGCGATGTTGATACAAAAACACACAAGATATTGAGATTTGGTGATGGTGTGAGAGATTACCTATAAAACATTGAAGTCAATACCCAGAACATAAATCTTACATTTAATTCTATTTGTTCAAACATTGTGTTAAAAAAAAATCTTCACAATTAAACTTAAAGAAAAAGAATAAAAATATACTGAGCAAATTTTCTTGCAGTTGAAAAGTCTGACAAAGTACACTTCTGTAAGTAGCACCTGCTCAGTGTGAATGACAAATAGCATAATAAATAGTGTGACTTTGGTGTAGTTAGAACCAACCAATACAAACATTATTGCTGCATATGCCTTTTCACCACCAGTTCTCTCTTTTCATCCAAAATTCACAAAATAGTTCTGTTTATAGTCTGCACTTTCCTTTAGAAGATTTTTGACAAAAAATAGCTAAATTTCTTGAGTTAAAACTGAAAATTTTGTCTGTTTGGCTTCATGTTCATTTCCAGAAATATTGAAAAATATAAAAAAGAAAGTGCAGACAAATTTGTGCGGGAAAGTCTGGTAGTGAAAAGATGCTCAGCTCTCATCTGTTGCTATGGTTACTGTGCTTTTGGTGGCAGTCTATACATGTGTAACTGTGGTTGACATCCTGCATGTTTCTGTTGCAGTCTCTACATGTGCAACGATGCAGTGATATATTGTTCTGATTGATAGTTATACAAGACAAGTTTATTTATTGTACAGAACTTTGTAAAGGCTATTGACTCGTGAAAAATGTACATATTTGTAGTTGGTGACAGTGAATGTATAGCCAGGATTTTTGACCAGCCATCTGCTTTTATCTGTATCATTGCATTGAACAACACTTTTTCCCATCTTGTCTTTTTCAGCATATTTTCAAGAAATCCAAAGAATGGGGAATACAGATGGAAGTGGTAGCGGAGTTAAGATTTGATTTACCAGCATCATATAAGTTTCACAAATATTCAACTCTGGATATACAAGTAGATTTCATCAGATTTTCATCACTGCTTGTCAAAAACAAAACTAAATGATTACAGAGTACTTTGTAAAGAAGTTTAAAATCCCCTTAAAATCCAACATTGAGGAGAAGCAAACTTTGTAACACATTCTGGAATATATTATTTATACCTGTACTATAATGGCAGTACATTGTGCTGAGTAAGGATAGTTGATTGACCCTCAAGTCAAAACAAATAAATATAGTCTGGGAGGTTGATTTTCCTTCATCAGACATAATTTTCTTTTCAGTCGTTAGCTGATTAGAAAGTCTTCCCAGTTTGGACGGAAGTCTGGATGATATCAATTCTGTTCAAATCTCATCAGTTTTACATTTTGTAAATTTTCTTTTGATCAGACCAATGAATGAGCTTGATGTAACAAGGTCACCTTTTTTTCATTTGTGTAGTATACTTTACATGGTTGGAATTTGTATGCTCTTATTGCTGTCAAGGTAGAGTGGTCATGTGTAGATAATTATGTCAATGCCAGACTGTTGGGAGAAACATTCTAAATTCCATAAAACTTTCACTATACAGTCATACTTAGCTTGGCTAATATAATAAAACAATATAGTACATTATTTAGTGTAATATAGAACATTTATTCTGCAGAAATACACATCTTTTGACTAAAGAATTAGTACTCTTTAATATATATATATTACTACAATACAATACTACAATGATCCAAAATATGCAGCATATATCTCTAAGTAACTGAGTGCTGCCAAATAAATATAATAAATATGATGTACTGTTGGTCCATGGAGTTTAATATTACGTATGAAGATTTAAAGACACAGTACATTTGTATTCTTTAAGTGTTTCAACATTACACCATACATCTAAAAGTATCAGAACAGTGTATGCTGAAAAAATGTTGGAAAAAAAATAAGTTTCATCAAATTTGACATTTACGTTATAATGTAAAATTATTTTCACTAGCATTTTAATTTTGATGTTTTAAGCAGTGAAACAATAAGTTGTACTGTTATTTTTCCTGTTCACATGGATTTAGTAAATTTTACTTATCAGCAAAAATAATTAAAAAGGTATGAGTAATTAATGTGTTTCCAGTAATCAAATAAAGTGTAGCAAACTTATAAATACCAAGCTGTTGTATTGTGTTGAAAAAACTAATAGATTCTGGACTGACTGGACTAGATAAACTATAGTTTATACAGAGCAGTATTTGTTTGGCAAGTAGTGCAGTGAGAGATTATAAAACATATTTACTATGTACAATCATGTATTAACCACCCACCCCCCCCCCCCCATACTTATTTTTTGATTGGCCGAATTCAAAAAATATTATACATGATTCCCCCTAAAATCAATAAAATATTTACTAAGATACACCAGATTCAAATTTCTGTTCATAAAAATGTAAGATACATTTTATAACATTTACTATGACCGCTTTAACAAACAACATTAAGACAAATATTTGAAGTCTGGCAGTCATGGTGGGCAGTACATTTGGGATATAACTACACCTGGCAGTAATTACTGGGGCCAATGTGACCAATATTAGACTATTTTTGTCTCAAACAAATTGATAGGTTTTCGCCTTACTACCGTAGAAGAGACCCGTAATTACAATTTGTTGAATATGCTCCAATAAAACAAACATGGTTGTAGATGTAGAAGTTTCAATGTGACATGTGTTGTATATTACGCTAGCTGATTGTAAAATTGTAAATGAAATATTTTAATTTCTATATTAGAAGCCCATAGGTGCTTCAATTCGAGATGTACTTTTACTGTGATCCAAAAAACAACCCAACCAGCAGTCTTGTAGTGAGGTAATATCAAAATTGCTACCTTGTTAGCAAAACATAAGCTATAATTGTTATACTGGTACTACTGGTTAATATGGTAGTAGTTTAACCAATATAATAACTTGACTAGAGCAAAGATCTGAGTGATCTGGTTGGTTGGAGAGGATAAAATTATATACCGGTACATGTACCTGGTAATAAAACATAGTTGAACTTTGGTGACCTTGCCCTTTGTTATATAATATACTATAATTCCCTTTAACATAGTTTGTTTCAATATAAATATACATTGTCATAATTAATTTTGAATACAAAAAAGTTTTGGGGTTGAACTCACAGTGGGGAATCAGTCTACCGAATGTCCTTTAAAGATGTAAATATCTTACAAAAACATTGGTGCCTTATTTGTTTAATTATTTTAAGGGACATAATTTCCAGCTTTATTCAAAGTAATTCAGATATTTTAGTATAAAAACAAATGCCTCATTGCAAAAAAAAAGTGCTGCATTTAGACGTGAATAGATTCATAAAACATGCAAGATAACAGAAAATCTTAGCTGGCTTTTGTCCAAGTATTTTGTACAGGTGTCTGTCAAAAATTAATGATTCACTGAGACAAATATGAACTGCCTCATTGTGTGACTACTGTATTATATGAAAAGTAAAAAAAAAAACACCCTTTATGAATAGCTATCATGTTGCAAGCTCTGCTTTAAATAGTTAGTTGGTGTCCAGTGGAGGGAGAAGTCAACAGTACTGTTGCCTCCTGAGAACCTACATCTTCAAACACTGCAATCTTTGTTTGAAGTGAGTTTTTAAACTAGTATTATAAAAACTCTATCATTCTGTTCTAATAGCTGAAACATATTCCTGTGAGTTTTCATTTGTCGAATGAACTGTTTGTCAAATACAGAATACATATATTTTAGAACAATTTACTTTTTAAAATGTGGATGAAATGTTTTGCTTTTTATGTATTTTTTATGTATTGTTTTTGATTTGATAACTTTGAACTAAACAGATTTTCTATTAGCTTCAGATCTTGATCAAAGTTT